TTGCTTGAGAGATCAACTTGACGCAAATCGTTTTGTTGTACGAGAAAATGAGGAACCTTCTCCAATTTGCAAGATCGTAGTACTATGACACTCAACTGAAATTTTGGCTTCCAAGAACTTTCAGACTCTACTCCAAGTGAGTTAGATTTCGAATCAAGTTTGAACACCCTAAGCTTTGAGAGGTTGGTAAGCGAACCAAGTGAGAAGACGCCTTCGAAATTCTTATCAAACAATGATAAGTACTCAAGCGATTCAAGATTACCAAGAGTAGATGGTACGTTCCCAGTCAGCTGGTTCGATGAGAGATCAAGAATTCGAAGTCCAATCATACTAGTTATGCATAAAGGAAACTGACCTACAAGTTTGTTTTGACTTAGATCAAGCTCTTTCATATACTTCAGTTCGCAAATCCCTACATTAATCAAACAATGAAGCTTAAGTCACTTTACATAAACATGAATTCAGCCACAACTCTTTTTTTTTTTTTTAAATAATTAGAAAGTGAAATATTTGATGCAAACTTGCCTTGCAATTCCATTGAGCCAGAAAATTCATTATAACTTAGATCCAGAGCTTTCAAATTCTTTAGGGCAGATAGCTCTGCCACACGAACATGTTCATCTCAAAAGTTGATAAAATTTCCACACTAGAAGAGAATTGCAAGTATTTATGGACTACCTTGTATTGGTAAGGAGCCATTAAACATGTTTCTACTCAAGTCCAGCAGTTGCAAGTTTATCAAATCTTTCAGTTCTGAAAGACAATATAAATTGAATTAAATACATATAATTTTATAACAACAACGATAGATTGAATCGATCTAGCAAAAGATAACTTCATCAACAAATGGCAAAACACACACCTTTAACAGGAAAATGGCCAAATTCATGTTGCTATCTCGAAGAAGCAGAGTTGTAAGTGAAGTAGCGGCATTAAGAAATGGGAAGATGCTGTTACTGAATCCATTTGAAGAGAGATCTAAAATCTCCAGGTTTCTTAATCTCCTTAGGCTTTTATAACACCTGCAAGCAAACAGAGAATCTTGCTAAGCAGATAATAAAATTTTAGAAGGGATAAACTTTCAAGAAGAAAATGTATAGAAACACTAGGCAAAAGCTTGGTATACCTTCAAGATCATCAAACAAAGCCATCGAATTGGTTGAATGCGTCTTCGCTGAATCCTTTCTCTTCGTTTGCGGAGAATTTAAGAATTTGAACATCTTCAAAAGGAAAGGTTTAACAGAGAAGTCTCTTTGAGATACATTTGACCAATGGAAAGCTCGATAACCCGCCCGCTTGAACGATTGCACTTAAGTCCCTCCCACACGCAGCAATCGGTGTTTGTGTCATTACTCCAAGCAGGGAGAACAAAGTCATATAAACCTTGGTCAGTAACTGAGAGTATGTATTTCTTGATCTCGAACAAAGCTTTCCTTTCTTTCTCAATACAGCTTTTGTATCCATGTAGCTGTTCCATGAGTATTATCACCCATATCCAAAAGTATTGGCTCAAGAAAACTTTCCCTTTCATTACAAATTATGAATTAAGGAAATGAAATCAAAAAAAGAAACTGAAACGCATGCAAATTAATAAAGTAGAAGAAACCAAACTTCAATTTAGAAAAGTCAAAGTCTGTGTTATTAATGAAACCACTAAAAGTCATATGTGAATGACATCGTTTAGGTCTCTGACTCTGTAGAAAATTTGTAGTCAGCAACTTTTATTTAGACCAAAGCATTTATTGGACGACTCGACTCAAGACAACAACACATATTCAAATTTGATTACAAGTACGACATTTTTGGGTTATTATATAGTATTGGAATTTGTTTATTGGGAAGGCTTCATTTCAGTTTTTATGGCGGCAACAAGGTGATCATAAGCCTGACCCCAAGCAGCCTTCATCTCCGGTGACCACATCTCCGGCACCGCCTCCTTTATCGTCTCCAACAATGCATACTTCGCCACCTGCAAGTAGAGAAATTCCTTAAAATAACACACTTCGAAATTTTATTATCCAAAAATACCACTAAAAGTTTTGGTTTTCCAAAAATACCACAAACCCCTCGAAATATTGAGTATACTGAACATGTAAGATATGTATGTCTAACCTCAAAGTGTTCATCAACGACGCCGTATTTAGAATGATTGGCTCCAAGTCTCTTCAGAGTTGTCTCCCTCACTGTTACTTTCCCTGTTTTTCTCAGTTGTACTGCTGATTCACAACACTGATAATAACATAAACCCATTACTCCAAATTTTCATTAAGAGAAAATTAAGAATCTAAGTATTGAGATTTGTTCAAAATGATTTCAAGTTTTACCATGACAAAAACAGACATGGCGTGTGGCTTGAGCTTTGGGTTTTGTTCAGCAGGAATTGGTGAGTCTTTCAAAAACGAGAACATCTTCTTTGTTGTTGGTGCA